GTAAATATATACATGTAAATGTATTCCCATATGTTCTGTGTTTTTAAACACAGAGGGGGTATGCATTGGATGGTGTGGTGGTGTGTATTTTTAAAATTTTCCATCCTTGTGTTTTTCTTTATTGCAAATGAAAACCTGGACAATAAAGGCTTGGTTAAAGCTCGCTTTCTCTTTCTCTCCCCTACTCCTCCTCAATCTCCTACAAAATTACAAAATGATTGTGATATTTTTTTTTAACTGCCCATCACCAGTGCTAAATCTGTGGAGTACTTTTAAAGGCAAATGTAGGATTATAGGTGTACAGGCACATAATATGACGCTCACATCATATGTGACGCTCACATCATTATTCATTATAAAAGAAGTAAACAGAGTAAAGTCTTATGTAACAACAACAAAAAAACATGACCCTAACTTTTATAAAACTTTGCATCTGATTTAAAAAGTGTGTTTTTGTTGTCATGTTACAATTCAATGAGACCATTTATGCACCATAATTTGCTTCAATGACCATCAAACCTCCATCATCATCTTCTCATCTCTTTTGTCCACACTCGTTTTTGGCTGCCTCTGTGGCCCAAAGATGACGCGTTTACACAGTGTGAGGATTGGCTTGTGTGGTCGAACCTGACGCAGATCACTGGATGATGTAGTCATGTTGTTAAGATCCTGATTATAAGGAGGGAAATGCAATTATGTAATGTTTTGAAACATAGTCATGCAATCACATTTTGAAAATGACCAAATACAACTTGAATTGACTCACCTTATATAGTGAGACCAAAATGAATGCTGGGATGCATATCAGTGGAGTTATGATAAGAAGACTGCCTATTGTGGAAACCCAGGGACCAGGTACATAATCATACACCATGAAGAAATGTTCTTGTGACAGGTTATATAACAGTGTGATCTAGGGGATAGGAAATGGTCAAGTTAGATGGTTCAGCTTTGAAACAAATAGTAGTTGTGTTTAGGTGAACACACAGTATTCTGTGGAACATTTTTTTACCACTTGGGGATAGCAAAACAAGCTGCAAACACAACAGATTGTCACCTTACGCAGTTTATATGGCGTTAGCATTTATTCTCCTTTTAGCTCTGTTTTGGTCTCCTCCAACAAACGTTAATTTCTTCACCAGCTAGTTTCTAACCTTCCATTCAATTGTTTTTGGCCAAAAGAGGTTGATGAGAGCAGTGAGAATGGACCAAAGCAAAAAAGCTGTGGACCCGAAAACCAAAACAATGAGCTAAAAGACACTAAAATGTTCCGTAGATAATTCTCTGTGGGTTCATCAATATGAGCGACATGTAAAACTATGATGCAACCGTTATGTATCTTGTGACTGTGTGATTTGTGTGGCTTAAATATACAAAAACACCAGTATGCTCCTTTTACTGACTGACTGACTTAAGAATTAAAATGCTGTCTACAGTTTCCGATCTTGCACCGATCATGTCTACAGTGAAGTGTGTTTTAAAACAGATGAGTCCACATTTTCAAGTAAAGAGAGCAGTCTCTCCTCTTCTTTCCCATATGTGAAGTCAAGCATAATTACTGATGTGGCAAAATGAAATATACGAAAGTCTGATCAAAGATGAAAGGCCAGGAGAGAGGGAAACAGGAAGAAGCAAATATAAGGGGGTGATGAAGGGCAGACAAAGATCTGCACTCAGAAGTAAAGTAAGATCGGAAATAATGAACACAAATGAGAACATGAGAGGAAATACACATTAAAGCAGAGAGCCAAGTAGATCAATCAAGAGATGTGAAGCAGGTGTGAGTATCTTACTACACAGATGAGCGGCGTGATGAACATCCAGCAGTATTTCAGCATGGGGAACGGTCTGTACCCAAGCATGTCTTCAATGTTGTCATAGAAACGGTCCGCACCTGCAAGGTCATGGACGGGAGGTGTTGGTCAATCAAAGGGAACAAAATGGTTTTGTTTTTACCAGAAACACTCTCAAACTCATGGGGACTGAAAACACAATGAGATGATGAAGCCTCGGCTTTGTGACATCCTGTCATCTATTCCAGATTGTTGCTGTTTGGGAGTGATATTGTTACTCTTTATTAAGGTTTTTAATTTTTAATCTATGATTAGATTGTTGATTGACCAGTAACAGAAAGTATGTAAGTTAGTAAGTAAATGTTTGAAATATTTCCATTTTATGCTACTTAAAACTTCTACTAGACTACATTTATTTTATACTGGGCTACATTTATTTAACAACTAGTTACTTGTCAGATTAAGGTTTTACATACATGCATGCATGTAATCAGTTCATGAAATATTAAATATATTTATTTAAATATCAGAAATATCATAAACTAACAGCTCTACAACATTAAGATCATACATATTAATACATCAACAATTATGAAATAGTCTGCATAAGAAAATCCTTTTACTTTTGATAAGTACATTTAGCTGCTAAATGAAGTATCTAATTAAAAAACCTATGTCCTAAATACTCATGTACAGCATACAAACTGTAATTCAGTCCCATTTTCTGAAACACCAATCTTAATTGCAGCTATGAATTTAGAAATTATTACAGCATTAGTAACACAATCTCATATATCATTTTGGTTTTCCAGTGTTGCATGGACACAATGAAGAATAAGTGAATAATTAGGAAGGAGGGAGGGGAGAGGAGGAGGCAAGTATCCAGGGAAATCAAACTCCAGTTTAATCTCAGTACAAAACTCGGGTGGTTCAAATGAGGGGGAAAGGTGAGGGGAGGAGGCACAGAGGTGGAGGAATGAGATGGAGATGAAAAAGCTGCTCGCCTTGAGTTGCCGAAGAGAGGAAGAGGAGGAGAAGAGAAGAACTACAGAAAGAAGGAAACATTAAAAAACAGGAGAAAAACTGATATGAGATTGGTCAAGTACATGACCTGGCTGATTGAACAGCATCCGCAGATTGACTTTTTGCAAATGCACAATGCACGGAAGAAGTTGCCTATTTGGGAAAGCAGACACAAAAATGATACAGTAATCAACCCTGAAACTAACTACGTTCATGCACAAGAGGAAAGTGAGTGGCCTCATTTAAATTTGGTTCAGGAAGTTTCTCCACACATAACACAGACTCACTCTGAAGAGGCAGAGGAGCTGAACGAATGGCTAAACAAGTCAAACCGGGGAGAGGAAGCAGCGGCAGAAACTGATCGATATCTCACTCTGAGTCAGTTTGCAGTATGAGATGTGTAGCCGGACCCTAATTCCAAAAGAGCAAGAGGCCTTCTGGGAATGGAAACGCACTTTTCCAGAGTCACAGAAATTGAATATACATGTTTGCAAGGAGTGAGACATATCTTCCGTTTCATGAAAGGAAACGGCTTGTTCTGAGAAAAGTATACGATACAGATGAGATCTGAGAGATGAGCTCTAAAAGACAAACACGAAAACAGAGGAACTCTCTGTCCACATGCTTTAATTTAGCCAGTAAATTCACTCAGCTAATGAAGGCGTGGGAAGCAGTGAGAGCTCAGATGATTTATCTAAAACGATGGCAGAGGAAGACTGGCATATGGAAGTGGATGTGGTTTAGGCTGTGGCATTTGGGGTAATAGCTATGGACAAACGCAGTTGAGGAGAATACAATACTGAAAACGAAATGGTAAGGAGGCCTAAAGTTCTCACATTTCCTCTGTTAGTTTTTGAATGAAGTCAGAAACAGTCCAGTAGATGGAGCACTCGACCTTCTGCAGGAGAGAGAGGGTCATGAGAAATACCTCATGTTCTTATTGCTCTCTGTTCAGAGTCCCTAAAGTATGCCACTTAAAGTGAAGCAAAAAGGAAGAAAAATGCTATTTACAGGTCATCAGTATAACAGCAAACAGGTATTTGCTATGTAAAGATATAGTGGAGTCATGCCATCCTGAGCAGAAATCGATGTCACACTCCTTCTGTGTGTGTTGTTATCCCAGCTTGTCTGTGCTTTGTTTACAAAGCCTGGCTGGCTGCGCATGCATGTTAGTGCATGTGAGTACCTCCCTGTGCAACTGAGGAAAAAGACTGAAACTTCAGTTTTTCTCATCCACGATGGTAAATTAAGGATTTATTTTGACAAAACCAGAGTTTGTAATTGTTGGAATAGTGGGAGGACTAACAATGACGGCTTTGATTTTATTTTATTTCTGCCTTTGACTGAATTTACAATAATCTAGGAAGAAAATTACAGTTTTTGTAGTCTGGTTGCAAGCGATAGCAATATCACAGCTGTTCCTGGTTAAACAAAAGTTCTATCTCTGTAGGGATCCTTTCCATAATCTTATCAGACACTTAACAGTAAGAATAACAATCCGAGCCTGTCACAAATATTTTCACATCTTATTCTGTGAATTAAGGGTTTATATAAACCAAATCAGCATTTGTGATTGCTGGAAAGACTAACAAAGACGTATTTTATTTTGTTTCTGTCCAGTTTCAAGTGTGATTGACGATTATCTGCGAGGTAAAATTACTGTTTTTTTCAATGGAGTCTGGTGGGCTGCAGCACCCATAGTTTTTTTTTATGAAATCCCCTAGTTAGACATCTAATAGCAGTGAATTTTGTATACATAACCTTTAAAGTTGAGGTTCAAAATTAGTTTTTGATCTTCATCAGCCCAGCATAGTTAATTTAATAAATTGCTAGAAGGCGGTGTCAGAGTCAAAAGAAAGTCACACACAAATAATTGCAAATGATTTGTTGCCAATAAAAATAGTTCATAGTATACATGTTTTTACCACAAATTACAGTCCTTGGAGAAATAAATAGTTTTTATTGTTGTTGTTTTTCTATTATTATATTCAGAATTTCAATTATTAAAATACAAAGTACAGTTGAGGCTGAAATTATGAGCTTTGCTTGGTCAAAAACTGAAGTATTGGACAAATTAAAAGTGATGATGGAAGTCAGAGGATCACCAAAGTCATTAGGATTCATTGTCTGTGGACAATGAATGTCCGTACAATATTTCATGGCAATCCTTCCAGCAGTTGCTGAGAGGAGTCGACCCCAGCCATAACTCGCCCAAATATTTGTGCCATTGTTTGAGATTTAAAAAAATAAAATACATTTATTAAAAGCTCATAAAAAATAGAAAAGGCCCAGTGTATTGAAAGTGGATACCTGGATTCTGTGTGCCTCCATACCCCTGCAGTGTATGTCTACAGTGTATGTGGTGCATATGCAGAGTACTGGGGGAATAATGTTCAGAGAAACTCACTCTAAAACAAAAATGAACACAGATCCTGTTATCTTTTCAATCTCACCAAAATGTCTTTTTGTTGTTAGTCCCCTTTAATGTGATCTTTTTATCAAAAGCCGGCCTCTTACAGATAAGATTATACAGATGCAGTGAGTTGATTACAATGAATGCTGCTGTCAGGATTGCATAAGCTCAAGAACTATAATGAAGTTCCTTTTGGTGGCTACTGTGAATGTAGTGCACTACTGATGATGCTGATATTGAGCAGCGACACTTGTATACCCAAAAGCAAAAGGTTTTGTATACTTAAGAAACACATTTTCAGAACTTTTTAGAAAATAAGTTGGTAAATCACCTTTTTGTTGAGAAAAAAAGTCAATAAAAAGCATCATGTAGTGCAGTAAAAACCAACAGAGTGACTTACCGTAGACCCAGCCAACCACAATGGTCTCTGTACAGGCAATGATCAGGAGACTGATTCCACTAGGACCGTAGGTGTCTATCAGGTTAAAGAGCACTATCCCTCCCTGAAACATGAGCAGAAAAAAATCATGTCAGGCAGGAAGAGTCTATCTGTCACACGGAAGGTCTAGCTGTGTTTTTCCACTTGACTGTGAAATGAAACCATTTAATTACTGGTGTACATAGCATATTTAGCGAAGCACATAGTGGGCATTCCAACAATTTCACAATTCACTTGCTAGTGATGTGTGAATCATGAGCGAATTGTTCAAAACTCAAGAACAATTGGCTTTGGAGTCACAAGTCCAGCTCCACTAAGGCGTTCTCTGACTCCCTCCTCCTACCTAGTGCAAACTATTGTGCAACTCATTAACTGACTGTACTTGCAGCATCCATCAAACATACTCTCTGCTACAAACCTCACTGATGAGGGGCAGCCCCAGTAGAAAACAGACGACAGCGATGACTAGGGTCAGTTTCTCTCTGGCGTGCGGTCTCCTCAGGTAATGTGGAAACATGTCTGTGAGGGCTGTGGCCAGGCTCTCCACACACACAAACTGTAAGGACAGGATTGAAACAGATTATTTTTTAAATACAATATGATGCTGGAACTCTATATATGATGCATTGCATACAATACCTGACTGTCCAGACCCAAGAAGAGGATCATGAGGAAGAATAGCACAGTCCAGAAGGACGAGCCAGGCAGCAACGACAGAGCCTTTGGATAGGTCATGAAGGCCAGACCAGGACCTGTAGAAAGCACATGCATGCATCTATCAACACATGATAGTGGGCAGCAATCTTTCAAGTCCCATCCTTTCTGCCTTGTGACACCTTAAAATGTATTCTGAACCTCATCAAAGGTTAGAGAGAGAGATATGAGTTGAACATTTTACTTTCTTTAACTTCTTTTGAAGGATTTTTTTAGAAACCTGAAGAGGTAAAAGAATCCAGCATTCCATGCCAAAATAGAGAATTATTTTAGAACAATGAGAAAATTAAACAAAACATTGTGAAGGATAATTTTTTTGGGCACCACTTTTTTAACACTACAGTACTAACACAATTATTAATAACTTTAGTTTAAGAACTTTGTGTGCATAGCCCTGTCCTCTGCAGAGATGCAGTCTAAAGTGCTTTCCAAAGGTTGAGCAGGGAAGTAGAACAAGGAAACAACAAAAAAATAACAATAAAATATTAAAAACATTCCACTGACTACAATAAAGAGACTTTCAAGCAAATTCTTTTAAATGTATGTGAACATAAGATGCCATCTTGTGGACACAGTTGGTTGTTGTACTAACTGCCTGTCTTTGTCACACATGATATTAAACTCAGAGGTGGGAGGTAACGCAGTATAAATACTGCTCACTGTACTTAAGTAGTTTTTTCAGGTATCTGTACTTTAGTTTATTTTTTCATCATTGAACGCGTTCCCAGCATCAGAATGAGTGTCACACATGACAAACGTTAGATGATAAAAAGAACATAAAAGACGGAACCGACAAGAGAGGGAGACTCGACCCTATTTAAAGTTTCGGTTAGCTTTGCACAGAAACAGCCGGTAGAAATGTCCTTCAAAGAAGCACAAGAGTACTTTTTACTTTTATACTTTGAGTACATTTCAGAACCAGTACTTTTTCACTATTACTTGAGTAAAGGGGTTGAATCTGTACTTCTACCTGATTAAAGAATGTGTGTACTTTTGCCACCTTTGAGAAAGGTGTCCTCAGGCTGTGGGAAATAAAGGGCATTTTTCCACTATTTTCTGGCATTTTATAGACAGAACGAACAATCAATTTATTGATGAAACAGTTCATTGCAGCCCGACAATGCATAAAAAAATGAATACAGCAGATGTTATGAGATGTTACAATACCGCCGTTTATAAAATGGACAGCAAAAGCAGTAAAATAAAGGATGCAGATGATGATGAAAAGGGAGGAATTAACTCACCAGCACTGGCAACTTCACTCAAAGGCAAGTCAAGTTCATGAGCCATGAATCCCAGCACTGAGAACACCACAAAACCAGCAAAGATACTGGTGGCACTGTTCAGACAACACAGTGCCAAGCAATCCCTAAAACACAGCAAGAACAAAACAACTTGCACTGTCACAGAGCACATGAATGTAAAACTGTAAATGTGATAATGGACTGCCTGTATGGACGCTGACCTGTAGCAGTTGTTGTTGTATTTGTTGTAGCTTCCCAGAGCAGTCAGTACTCCCTGACACACAGCGTAGGAGAAAAACACCTGAGTCCCTGCATCAGACCATACCTAGAACGGGTAAGAGATTAACTTCATGAAACATTTCCAGGTTCAGTATGTAATATTTAGTGGCATCTAGCAGTGTAGCTGCAGATTGCAACTCTCGCTTCCCGCTCTCCCAATTTTCCTTTCCTTTTTTATTATTGATAGTGCAAGATACATGATTAACATTAAGACATGACAGCAACAAATATCGACAGCAACAGGGGTATTACACAACAGCAACAACAACAACAAAAGTCAAATCAATTAATCAGAACTTTACAAGAACAAACAGCTCTGCTTTATGCCAGCGTCAAAACTGATTAAATCTCCTTTTGCAGGAATACAGATGTCCACTTTTTTTGTAACTATGTGAACGTGCGTGTGTATTTGTGCGCATTTAGGTTTCTGGGTGTATTCAGGTTTGTTTACAGGAATGTCTGTGGGCCCTTGTTCTGACAGCATCTGGTTAACATTAGTGGCACCACAGTGCTGTGAGTTTAGTCTCTAAAAGTTGGCAAGGCTCCACAGCAATATACAGACCCTTACTCTGGCCCCTTGGTGGGCCCGACTTAATCCCAGTCTCGGGTCAGAAATAGAGGCTTAAGTATGTCGCAGTGGATCTTCACATTTGATACTGGACAAAGAGGAAACTGTTGTGTCCTTAGAAGAATGTGTTTTATTTTGACTGCTCTGCATACAGACTTGCATACGCACACTGAAACATGGACAAAAGAAGACACATTCACACATTAAACAGACCTCAGACGCAAGCCAGAGCTCTATTACGATTTCCTTTGTGAAGGAAAAACAGACGCTTGCATGCTAAAGCAAGACTCATTAGAAACAGATCTGTTTTAAGAGCATCTGGCATTGCGTAACTCTCTCACCCATAACTGCTTTCACCTGCTTTCAACATTACTCCAAATAATAATCTCACAGTTTTTCTCTTTGCTTCGTCTCATGATAACAAATTAAGATTTCCACAATAGTTCAGAGCTGTATGAATATCAGCCATGTTTGGGTTCTTAGAGGGGCAGACACATTTTGTATCTTGCATCTTCTCCTTTGCACATCCACATTCCTACAGAAGAAGAGGAAGTGACCCCAAGGACAACTTCTGAGCCTTAACCCCCCGCTGATTACATTTGAACCCTGAAGCGTGTGAGTGTGAACTTTCGAGGGGAGGAAGACAGAGATAGAGATGCCGAGGGAGGGAGAGGGGTGACAATCAAGAAAGACCCCTTTTTCTTAAGTCGCCATTACTGGCAGAAACAGACGCTGTCATTGTATGAGAGCATGCCAACAATCCCGAATTCATCCTCCAACCTCCATCCTGTTCGATTCCCTATTCAGTTTAGAAATTACATCATTATGCTGAATGAATAATAGATCTGCTATAAGAATGTATGAAAGGCAGCTGTTAGTCTTGTTTTATATTTTTTCATTTTTTTTTAATGGAAAGGTTTGTTTTTGGTAAATTACCATCATCTTAAAGCAAGTTGTATTGACATTTTATATAGTAAATATACCCTCAAAATGTGTGAGAAACTCCCCATGTGAAACTACTTCTGTGTGATGATGTTACTGTGTACTCTTTCTCTGTGTACGCTTTCTCTGACAACCTTCTCACTGAAAAAGGGTATCTTGGTTTGCTTTTCTTGTTAAGACTCTGTCTTGGGACCGGAAGCAAGAGTCAAGGCACAGAGAAAGGGAGCGGCGATGTGAATAATAGCACACTGTATTCATGATAGGATCTCCTGACAGGAGACAGTGGAATCCAACAGAGAGATGTATAGAGAAATAAAAAGAGACAGATGATGCTCTGGTTGGTTGTGAGACCTGATGTAAAACGCTTAAAGTTCTAATGGCGTAGTTCTAACGCAGTTGTAACAGCACACATGGTTACGAGAACAGTTGATCATGACAGAGAGGTCTCACCAGTGGTTCAGCGATCTTGCTGAAGTTAGGGGTGAGGTAATATCTCAGTCCTTCCCCCGCTCCTGGGAGCGTCACTCCACGGATGAAGAGAATGATGAGCATCAGGTAGGGAAATGAGGCAGTGAAGTACACCACCTGCAAACACAAAAAAAGCATAAAAACAAGTAGGTTATTATTCAGTATGTACACACAAACACTTTACATTAAGCCTGTATTAAGTGATTTCTTTTCTTTTTTTGCCATTTGGGAACAGCAGTAAACCCATTCTAAGGTCACAAATACACATATGAAAACTTACCTATCAATATTATATTCCATTTCTGCTAATAGAGCCTCCTAAATGTTCCACACTGGCCCTTTAAGGCTTATAACTTTATTTCCCTTTATTAAATCTGTACCAATCACACAGGAGTGAAGGTAGATAAGAAAGAAAAGAGGATTAGCTAAAGGCAGCTGACAGGTAGATTGTTCATTAAGGCAGATTCCCAGGAGTTTTGGCTGGTGAGCCCTTAAAATGAAGACATATGTATATGCAAATGCTTGTCATAGATTGCATAAGTCTGAGATGTGAATACTTAAACCAAAGATGAATGATGTTTATAGAGCTATTCGGCATTTAACAAGAGCGAAGATTAAAGATAAGTCAAAAAGGAAATAAATTGTTTCATGTTCCAGGATCTTTTGTTTCTTTCCTATCCAATTTGGACCTCTGCAATATCAGGGACATAACTGTTTGTATGCTAAATAAATACTTGCCTTTCCTGTGACTTTGATTCCCTTCCAGATACAGAGGTAACATATAACCCAGGCAAGCAAGAGACACAGAGCCAAATCCCAGTGTATCTTAGACAGGTTCATGTCATCTGATATTCTTAACACACGGTGCCTGTGGGTAAGACATCACACACGTAAACACATATATGCAACTGCATGGTCTGCAAATAACATGCAGCATAATGGCATTCAAACACACTTTGTTTGTTACTTTCAAAGCTTTCACCTATTGCAAATACACTACACAGCCCGCTACAAATATGTCATGGCTTAACAGCATGAGAAGAATGCACTGAAAGCCATATTTCGTGCGACACCAAAAACAAATCCAAATACAGCATCTGCATCACGAATACAGATGTTTAAATCTGTCTTAGTTTGTTTTGGACAGCTTCAGTTTAGATTATACAAGCTGCAGGGAAAAGAGAACACATTGTTCTCCTCATGCAGTGAAGCTGCATGAGTGATTTCTCAATATCTGCCCTTGCACCAAATCAGGAGAATATCATGTGAAGAGCAGCGGCCATGTTTCAAAATATCTAAAAGTAAGAAGAAAAAGTACTTTTAATCAAAGCTGGAAGTTGAATAAAACGGTGTGATTGGTCATTTGAGGAATGTAACTGGCTCATTCTCTCTGCTATGTTTGGGTGACCTCTGTTCACCTTTTGTTGGTTCACCATTAACATTGCGTTCACTCAGTATCCTGAGAGTATAGATGGCCTCTTGGAATCTGGGATGCATTAAGAGTTATTGCTGAGGAATGTTCCCCCTAAGACCAAGCAAACTAGGGAGGATGATATTACTGTCAAAGCTGTTTTCATGTTTTAAAAAGATAAAGTGTGTGACTGTGTGTTTGTGTGTTTCTCACTTCCAGAACTCCTCTTCAGGTAACTTGGTCATCAGCAAAGGGTCTGTGTCATTCCTGGAAATATAAAACAAAATACTCACACACATTACACTACCCAGAACAATGCTTGGTCATTGTTTTATATGTGGATCAGTCAAGTTCTATTCAATCTAGTTTTACATTTTTTCAAACAGTGTCACACGGATAACTAATCAATAATTAGAGGGATGTTACTATCACTGCTTTTGAATCATTATCATTCAAATACGCTTATTCACTTCAGTCTGGCACATGGCTCGGAGATTTTGAAGCCAATAGATATATCAATATTTAGGGGTCTGATAACAATACAATGGCTATAACATTGTTTAGAAATGACCTCAAACCTTGTTTATTACATTTCTGCATTGCACTTTGATACATATTATTCTGACCTATACACTGATGTCAATGTATCTGAAATAAGATACTATTACTGATACAGAGTGATATATTTATAGGTCTAGCTTTACAAGACACAACCCTATGGAAGCCCATTTCTGCCAAGTCATTATAATGACAAACCTTTTCAAAATAATGAGGAACTTTCTCTAAATCAGGACTTAATATCTCAGAATAATAATTATTTTTAAAAAAATGACTATGTATTTCAAAA